AGAGATAGTTAAAAAGCTTTTAGGATCTCCATTGGTAACTAAAGTCATTGGTGGTGTTCTGAATGATAACTTGGATGAAAGGCATTGGAGGAAAGTTCTAGAAAGTAATTTATTGGGTCAGAATTCTGTTGATTCCATCTTAAGACTGAGCTATATAGTTATGCCAAATCATCTACAAAATTGTTTTGCATTTTGTTGTATGTTCCGACAAGATTATCGTTTTGATAAAGATGATTTAGTCCGAATGTGGATTGCATTGGGTTTCATTCAGCCGTCTCTTGATCATGAAGAGAATATGGAGGATATCGGTGGGAGGTATTTTGATGTTTTGGTTAAAAAATCTTTCTTTGAAAAGTTTGAATACAAAAACCCTTTTCAATTCTTTGATAAGTTTGAATACGAATTCGTTATTAAAAGAAATTCTCCATACTACTACAAGATGCATGATTTGCTACATGAATTGGCACAGTCAGTTTCCACACAAGAATATTTAAGAGTTGAGGATAGTATAAAGTTGCCTTCTATAATTCCTACGACTCTTCGACACTTGTCTATTCATACCCCAAATCCAGATATATCAAAAAAGATTGAGAAGTTTAAACATTTGCATTCTCTTTTCTTTTTCTATAAAGATTCTAATCAGGATCTTTGCAGTTGTGCACTTATTGAAATAATCAAAGCATCGAAAAGCCTACGCTTACTATATGTATCTACTCCATACTTGAAAATTATACCACCTGAGGAGATTGGGAATTTGATACATCTTCGGTGCTTAAAGATTTTTCTGTCGTAATTTGACTATGCTGCCAAGATCTCTAAGTAATCTCTATCACTTGCAATACCTAATCGATGATGGAGATGGATGGGCAACGTCAAATCAAGTTGATTTTTTACCCAGTGACATTAATAACCTTACTAACTTGCGTCATGTGAAATTTCGTCCCAACAATGATATTTCATTGATATGTGGGATTGGGAAGCTAAAATCTCTTCAAGAAGTGAATATGTTTGATCTTAGAGATGTGAGTGGTCATAGAATTGGGGAGCTGGAGAATATGAATGATCTTTGCAAATTAGGAATTAATTGCCTTGAAAATGTTAAGGATGCCGACGAGGCTTCCAGTGCCAAATTATGTGAAAAGAGGAGGCTCACAGATTTAACTTTATGTTGGAGTGACAATAATTCGAGGAATCTGAATTTAGATGAGAACGTGCTCGACAAACTTCAGCCACCAAAATGTCTAAGGAAGCTGAACATATATTCTTACATGGGTGCAAGGTCTGCAATATGGATGAACAATGTCAATCCGATCTTCAATCTAGAGATAATCGAATTGAAAGATTGCAGGAAGTGGGAAACTCTTCCTCCTTTCGGGCAACTTCCCTTTCTCAAGTCACTGACACTTAAGAACATGCCGAAAGTAAAATGGCTCGAAAGTAAATTTAATGGGAATGATACATACCGTGCCTTTCCATTGCTAGAGGTGTTACATATTTCCGGATTACAAGCATTAGAGGATTGGTTTGAGGCAGGAGTTGCTGCTGAAGATGGATGTTTGTTTCCTTGCTTAATTCAACTGGCGCTACAAAACTGCCCGAAGTTGAAAGAGTTGCCCTCTTTGCCTCCTAAGCTCAAGAGCTTGAAGATACGACCTACGTCGTGGAAGACTTTGAATTTTTGTAGCAATTCAAATCCTATTCCCCTTGAATCATTATGGGTCCAGCACTGTCCAAACATTACATCTCTTCCTCTGGCTGATAAAATAGCAAGTCTTGCGGCACTAAGACATTTGAGAATTGAAAATTGCCCCAATCCGATCTCTCTCGGAGAAATGCCAACCACTAATAATTGCCATCTCATGCTCAGCAGTCTTAGCATAAGTGATCCATTGGTGTTGCTAATGGAGCCATTGAGAAGTATCGCCTCCTTAAAAAAGCTGAGTATCTCGAGGAATAATAAGCTGATTTCTTTTCCAAATGAGACGGAGCAGTGGTTTCTGAAAGTTTGTTCTTCTCTTTCTGAGCTGAACTTTAGTGATCTCAAATCCTTACAGTCTCTCCCTTCCTCCTTAGAATTATCTTCACTTCAGACATTATCTATTATAAAATGCCCCAATCTGATCTCCCTCGGAAGACATCGAGAAGTGGGGACCACTAATAATTGCCATCTCATGCTCAGCGATCTTGAAATAAGTGATCCATCGGTGTTGCTAATGGAGCCATTGAGAAGTATCGCCTCCTTAAAAAAGCTGACTATTTCGTGGAATGATGAGCTGATTTCATTTCCAAATGAGGCGGAGCAGTGGTTTCTGAAAGTTAGGTCTTCTCTTTCTCAGCTGCGATTTTTAAGGCTGAAATCCTTAGAGTCTCTCCCTTCATCCTTGGAAAGCTTATCTTCACTTCACTGTCTAAATATTTGTCTGGCTCCTATGCTTCGGGAATTACCGAACCTTCCTCCCAATTTACAAGATCTAACAATTGGGCAATGTCATCCAGAGTTAAAGGAGCGCTATCGAGAGGATGGAGGCTCCGATCGGCACAAGATTGCTCACATTCCTTATATCCTTATTGTCCCTTGATACATAAGCAAACTTCTTTCTTTACCTTATTTGTTTGATATGAAATGTGAAGAATGCAATGTCATTGTATCACTTTGTGGTTCCTTAATATATAAATATATTCTACTTTTCATATTTTGTTATGCATGTCGTTAAATTTATACATAAGCAAGCTTCTTTCTTCTTATCTTATTTGTTTGATATGAAATTTGAAGAATGCAATCTCAGCATTAACCAATTTGCATAACTTTTTAATTTGTTGTTGATAGTGCAACATGGAGAAAAGATACATGTTGAAGATTATTAACTTTTTAATTTGTTGTTGATAGTACAACATGGAGAAAAGATACATGTTGAAGATTATTGATTGCAAATTTTATTTTATTTTTTAATAATGAACTTGTTATTTATAATGTAAGATATTATATTGTTAGTTGTTAAATTTTATACTTAATTTTTTATTGTATTTAAAAATTTTATTAATAAATTATTTTATTTTTTATGAGTTAAAAAAAATTAAATTTAATATTTTCTAACTATTTAAAAATGAACACAAGCTAAATGAAAATTTAATTATTGGATAAAAATATAAATATTTATAAAAAAAGTTCAAAACTATTTATTTGATATTTTCATTTCACAAATACATATAAAAATATAAATAACTTTTAAAATTAATAAAATAACACAAAATAAATCATCAAATAAAAAATTAATCATCATTAAATTATCTTTTTCTTAACTAAACATTTATTAAATAATAAAATTCAACTAATCATGCTATATTTGATTCAATATCATCTAACTCATAATATAATTTTATCTAAATCTGACTAACAATCAGTTATCTTCTACTAATAATGCAATATCATAATAGATATATTGAAATGAACAACTACTAAACTATTAGATTTCGTAAATACAACCCACAAAAATGCACAAAACATAGTAAGACCCAATACTACCATTTCCCCTACAACAAAAGAATGTTTTATTATAAATAAAACATCACATAAAATCCCTATACAGTGTTTATTCAAAGAATTATGATCTTCTGGTCTTCTACAAACATCACAAAATTTATAAATATTTTCAATTCTATAGACATGTTTATAAAGATATTGTTTTGATCTTCTGTAAACTCAAAAATTTTGTTCCAAACTTGTTGCATGTTGTATGTATCGTCGTGCACAAAGAATGGATTTTATGTCCGAAGAGGAATATGGGGTTGTACTAAAGCAATCCTCTGATTATGTGGAGGATCCCATGGATGTGAACTTTTGGGTTTTTGAAGTGCCAAATAGTAAATAATTCCTAAAGAGACACTTGCAAGCCATAAAAATGCACCTCCAAAGAAGACCCTAGGCTTCAAAATATGGCAGTAATCGCCCAAGCACATATTTTGCATACCTTTCTGATCATTTAGTACAAAACCATCCAATAATAGAAGAAATGTTATGACAAAAGTAACCATGCAGAATACTAAAACTAGTGAGTTCAAAGAATCATGAAGAATTCCAAATTAATAAAATATGATGTCTGGTTAATCTTTTGATCTTTCCAAATATTAAAAAAAAAGACCAACATGACATGTTCATTTAAAAGAAAAAGGCATATAGTGATAGGTTTGTTAGTTGTTTAGAAACATTCGATAATCTTTTGGTAGTTATTTTATTTTCATTCATGGCATAAATCCATTCAAAGAAGATGATTGTGGAAATGGTTCAATAAAAAATTGCTAAGAAGATTGCCACAGGCACTACTACAAATATTGCAAGGCAAGAAAAAAATGTTCACTTAAAATTGAAGTGCGAAACAAAGAATTAATTGTTCAAGCTAAGAAATTTCATTAGCGAGTTATGATGTGAATCAATTGAAGGACAAAGCCTAATACAATATATCAACTCCAACATTATATTTGATATCAAGTATGTATGCTAATGTTGACCTACAACACGAATGCAAAAAGAAGGAAAGAAAAAATTAATATAATACACAAATCTTTTGTACTTCGGCGCCACGTTGAACTCTGCATGTCATAAGACATAGATCCATCTCAAATCTCGTGTATCCTCCTATTTGACGTCAATGTCGTGCTCCACAATAATGCCCCCATGACTTGACGTCCTGCTTGCGTTGTTAAAATGAGAGAGAACGGAATAGATGTATTTTTTCTCTTCATCCCACACACAAGCACCTCACGACTTTTGTCTCCAACCACTGCTCTGATCCTCCCTCTACACACTTGACCGACCTTCAAAGCCAAGCCAGCTCCCATCTTCTATAGCCGAACCACCTAAGCCTTCCTGCCTTGTTTGCAAGCCCTAGCCAGCCCACCAATACATCTAGTTGCAAGCCTCCAAATCCAGTCTCTCTTCCTCTTGGCTCCAACCTGCTTCAACCCCTAGCCACAAGCCCTCTACCCAATCGAATCCACTGCCTGATCGCTTCTCTCACTTTGCAAAACAGCCAGTGCTCCACCTCACAGTCGTAACTCCCATCAATGCCTCCGATTCAACCTCACAACAAGCCTTAAGTGTGAAGATCGCTTTGCCCCAGGATCGTCCGGGACGAAGTTAGATAGTCCCGGGACGATCGGTACAGGTTGGGTCAGAATTGTGAAAAGTTGAGCAGTTTGTCTGGACGAAATTTTGACGAAAATGCTCCCGAGGACCGGTCGCCGGGGAAGTTAATTAAATCTCGTCTGGACGAATTTGTCCAGAGTCAGATCGTCCCGGGACGATCGTCACGATCGTCCAGGACGATCAGTCTGGATATATATAGAAATGAGATATTTCGAAGAGAGAGAAAAGTCCAGGAGAGAGAAAAATGAAGGAAAAAGAAGGAAAAGTGATTTTTGGGCGACTCCGGACCGTTTTGGTCTGTTGCTGTAGTTAAAGAAGTTGACCGACTCGAGGTAAGGCACATTCCTCCTTTCTCAATTTTCAGAACGGTGCAAGTTGAACGAATTTTCTGTCCGGATTTTATTTTTGTTAACAAATTTCGTCCGTATTTTCCGCTTGGTTCAATTTTTACCGCGTAACTTTTGATATGTTT